TGCTTCCTGGCTCTCATCCATTTAAGCCTGAAAACCTGATGGGAAGGAGTGTAGCTCCCTGCCTTGCTAGAGCGGTATCCGGGGAGAAATCTGGCATAAGAAAGAATTCCTAAAAGTCCTGTGAAGCCTGCTTTGCTAAGAGTGCTTTCATTCATATGTTAAGGGTCCGAGCAGGAAATGAGTATGTCTCCCAAAGTTTCTGCAAACCCCCTTTCCTGACAGACACTGACTCAGAGTGAAGCCCTCAGACTTCTTTGAAATGTTATCTACTGTTTGATCCTTGCCACCCTGTATTCCTGTGTATTACAACCCAATTAAAGCCCCTGGAGCAAGGGGCTCCTGGCCTTTTTCCTCTGAGAAACTGGCCACCTCTCCTCCCCAAGCAGATCATGTCTTGGTAGGGTTTACTTTCATCTGTGGCAAATGGGGGGACTTGAGGGTAAAGTCACCCCCACAAAAAATGTAAAACAAAAAAGTTCTGAGACTGCGGCCCATGCTAGGAATGCCAGCATTCCTCAGCTCCAATAAGATAACCTGGTCCAAAGTAGACTTCCCCTTCCAGGAATCTACATGGGAACCACCTAGGCCCTCTATCAAAATACTTTTCCATGTCCACCCTGGTTTTGGCCCTCATTCCTATGTCTGAAATGGAATCAATTTTTGCCACAAGGGGCTCAGGCACAAAACTCCATTGACCATACTTAGGGTATTACCTCATTCATTCATTCATCAAATAGTTGAGAGTCAACCAAGTACAGAAGACAAGAAATGCAAGAAACAAGCCACTAACCCTACAAAGACAGTGGTGTCGGGGCAAAGGATGGGGGGCCAAACTGAGAAAACCCGGCTGAAAGTCTAAGGAGCAGGGGGACCCCTCAATCCCCTGATGACTCTGCACAGCCAGGCGACACCGCCCCTCGGGCTGATGGCCGCAGGTTTGCCCTCTAGGAAAGATGAACCAGAGCAACTGAGAGCTGGAAACACCAGGAGACAGCCAGGGACAAGAAAAAGACAAGGGATAAAACAGGATTATGTGAAAGGCCACGCACCAAAGGTAAAAGGCCTGAACCTTCCCACCATCACTCCTAACTCAGTTGTAAGCCTAGTTAGGACACTGCCACTTGCAGGCGAAGGTGGCGAGGTCAGCCTGGCCTGGTCAGGGAAGTGTCCTGAAAGGTGCTGTGCAGTGTTTTGACCTTAAAAGATGTGGAAAAAAGGGAACCAGCAGAGGATCACATGCCAAGTTCTATTTCACCACAGACAAGAAGCTAAGAAAAAAGTCAGATACATCAAAAAACTGGCACTGGACAATTCCAAAGGGCATGCATTTCTTAAGGGGGAAAAAGGAGAGACATAGTTGTCCTTGAATTGTCACTACACCCCATTTTTAAATGCCTACACTGAAATTCTACATGAAGCACACAGGCCTGAAGAGTCCACGTGTTGCTGACAATGACTGTCACCTGCAGAAAGCAGGGGCCATATTTGAACTGGGCCCTGGATGTTCTGAGCTTGTCAATGTGGAATGTGAAGTTCATGGGGGAGGATGCAACTCCTGGACTCTAGAGAGCTGCTGTCCGAAGCTATACAGCACACAGAGTCACACAGACTGAAGTGGATACACTGTGGTACGCAGGCTGGAACTGAAAGCACCTGGTAACAAGCCCCACGGGTCGTCCTTCTCTCCCTACATTCCAAGTGCAAAAACACTCGCTGGGGATCCCCTCTGTTTTCATTCAAAACAGTGGTCCCAACTTGAAAACCAGGTTTCGGTGCTCATGTTCTAAAGCTCTCTATAAAAGCTACTGTAGGGGCAACAACAACAAGAACTACGTAACTTAGCAAAAATGAAGCCTGCTGGTCATCACCTTTTATGATATACTGGACACTTCTGCCTCAGCTGCAAGGAAAAAATGTAAACTCTCTCAGAGAGTTCACGCGCTGTGAGGGGAAGAGAACACCCTCACCCTATTTGCCCCTGAAGATGACGATCTGAAATGCATGCGAAGGGACTTGTTTTGTGAAAATGGGGACTGTATGGCCACAATGCTAGAGGCATTAAAACTGCAGGCAATTTCTATTACATGGATGATGCTCATAACTGTATGGAGATTACCTAGAGGAGAACATTATCGTAAGAAAAAACACGACAATGCCCTTCCCAGAACACAAAGCCCCATCCTCATAAATCGCCCTTGCTCACTGTCAGTGGCTTGAGAGAGCTCCAGATTCTATCCAAATATGCACCTAAAATAAGATTACACTGATCTCATGTATTTTATTCATTGCTCCCCTTTCAACATCAGCTCCTTCAGACACTTAAAGAACTATTTGACTTCAAGAGCAGTGAAATATTAAATAAAGATCACCATTTTAATGACCTGAAAGTGGCCAATTAGCCATGAGTTGAAAATACTTCAAATCAATTTAATGCACAAATATAACTGATAAATTGTTATGAAGTACTTTATAAATTTAAGTGTCAAATAAATGGTCTATAATCAGAATCACCATCATCATAAAAATACTCTCAGAGCTGCAAACTGACCATAGTGAGTCTCTAATAGTTGATCCCCAGGACTGAGGAAAGACAACACTATAGACACAGAAATGAAATAACGAGAAGGAAGGGCCAGTAAACCTGCCATTATGTCAAATGGTAATGTTCAAGTAAGGGCCAAGAACCAAACAAACAAACCAAAAAAAAAATTTTAAGCCAGTTCAAGGACACTGAGTGGAATTTTACTTTATTCAATGAGACAAATGCATAATTTTGACCAATAATTCCAGGTAGACAATATTCAACAGATTGTTTAATTTTCTTTTCTTCAGCTGTGTAAGGTCTGGAAAAATGGACAATTTACTTTCTGACCTTCTTCCCAGTGCTAAACTCACTGCCATTACTACAGAATGAAAGCACTCTGGAGAATGAGCAGAAGAGCTGGCATGAACTGATCTACTTGTTTGCTATATCCAGAAATTATAGCCAAAGAAAAACAGCAATAAGGCCCTGGCTGGTATGGCTCAGTGGATTGAGGGCCGACCTGCGAACCAAAGGGTTGCCAATTCGATTCCCAGTCTAGGGCATACCCTGGTTTGCAGGCCAGGTCCCTGGTTGGAGTGGGGAGGTGCGTGTGAGAGGCAACCACACATTGATGCTTCTCCCCCTTTCTTTCTCCTTTCCTTCCCCTCCCCTTGCTCTAAAAATAAATAAATAAAATCTTTTAAAAAACAGCAGTAAGGAGAAAAGACTGACAAAAATGTTAAATAAACAAAGTTAATCATTCTTTTAGAAACTGGGAAGCTGTGGGGTCTAGTGAATTAAGCAACAAAGATGTCAAGAGCAATATAATCGAATCCTAGGCACATCTTAAGACATAAGATGGTTTCTCTATCAATAAAAATCAGGATAATCTTACTGCTGTCTGCATTAGGTAATTAACTCCTATGATACACTACGGAAGTTCAAACTGTTAAATAAATGATGACTACCAAAAAATTTTAACCAGAATGTGCTGAATAATAATCATGACACATGGGTTCTGAACTTTACCATTTTTGTTTTCAAATTAATAATGCAAACAAGACTCCGACCTTGTCACTTGGCTTATAGTATTAGGTGGCAAGTGCAATTAAGGGATTCAAAATCATCCTAGAGCTCCCATTTCCCCTGGAACGGTTGGCTCAACTTCACACATAGTGAAGAAAATACAGTCACGTTCTATTCCTGTAGCTGCAGAAGCATCACTATTGTGCCTGCATGATCTTGGCTGATTCCAACCAGAGGCCATTCCTCTTGAAAATCTACTAAGCAATCAACATTTTGAAAATTTCCTTTTATTTAAAATTAGAAATCCTAAACCACAGTAATGTTTTAAATTATTTTCTGGGAATTAACAACACCCATGGCGTTCAGCTAAAATTACTGCTCTATACCCTTCCTGCTCTCTTGAACAATAATACTGATGAGATTGTGTAGCCCAAAACTTGCAACAGTTTTTGACCTGCCTGTTGATGAAATAAAGATGAAGATATTAGCAGCAATTCTATGACTTCCCAAACTTTCTATTCCAATGGTAGTATGAATATGCTGTAAGACTGAAAATAAGACCAAGGAAGCTAACATAATTTTATTATTCATATGTAGTCCATTGTTTTTCCCCATACACTTGAAATAACAATTGAGTGCTATGAAACTGAAAAACACAGAGAAAAGAAGTAAAGAGTTTTAAATCACAGAAGGATGGGAAAACCTTAGAGATCCAATCCATTTCATTTTTTTCATTGAAAATATAACATCTAGAAAATATAGTCTATCTAAATCCAAAACCTGATCAAGATTTTACTTATAAACACATTGTTCTGTGAATTATCTGTACAACTGTAAATAAAAATGTAGCTATAAGGAAAAGTTTAAAAACCATTAAACAAACAAACCTAAATTTCAATTATACAGGGGTGGGCAAAAATAGGTTTACAGTTCTAAGTGCAACACAGAGTTTATTCTTATATTATTATTTATTTGTATCATAATTTTAAAACTCCTTTGGCCCACCCTTGTATATTTGGGGTGAAAAATCATCTCCAGTTACTCTTTTAGGGAAAAATTAAACATCTATGGAAGAAACCAAAGAAGGTATATTCACATTAAAAAAATACAGTTCTATCCTCATAATAACCAAGACCTCAAATACTAGATTTAGTGACTCATTAATTTGTGACATTAGCTTTATAATCATAGATGTAAAAAACCACTGTGTTCAAAACATAATTATTACTCCAGCATCTCATTTCATGAAATTCTTAAATTAAAATGTAAGCCTCCGTACGGATTTGTGTTTGATTAGTTTCACTTATTTAAGAACACTGAATAATTTAAGACCCGTTTAAATAAAAGAAACACACAAAAAGGGCTCTTCCAAGACGTGCTGGAGACTTCAGCACTCTGCCATTTCTGGATGGACCCTACATTCTCCAGAATCATTATAAACTACACTCACCTTCCAGGTGAAGCCACATCAGCCTCCCCTTCACCCTCACAACAGAGGCCACACAGAGTTCTCTTGGATTCCTGGGGTTTACGGCTTCCAGCTTCATGTTCTTTGTGAAACCCCGACTAAATGATGTCTGAAAGAGAGAACCCACACTGAGCCAGTAGCTCCCACAACGAGATAGCGCACAGAAGCAAGGCTGGCCAGCTGATGCAGCAGAAGGGCGCACACAGACCCATGCACACGGACCTTATTCATAGGGCAAACAGGTTGTTCACATGTTTGTCCTTCTCACCACTATGAGGAAAGAACCATGCCTTCTTCATTTGGATCCCAGAAATTAGAATTCTGCTTGGCATACAGCAGGTGCCTAATCACATGTGTTGAGTAAGAGAATGAACACATTTTCTGTTTCCAGTCCCATATGCATGCCCACTTCTACAGAATCACTGAGAGAAATGTAATTTCTTCTACTTCTCTGTATTTCTTAACCACATCAGATATGGGCACATTTGGGGGTGTGAAAGGAGAGAGATCGAGTCTCCACCTCGGATCATCCTCTTTCAGCCTGAAGAATATCCTTTAGCATTTCTTTTAGCACAGGCGTACTGGTGAGGAATTCCCAGAGATTCCTTTCTCTGAAATTATCTTTATTTTATCTTTCTGCTTCTTGCTTATGTGTGTTTACTTTCTAAATTCACATTTAAAAAATTTACATATAGGAAAATTCACTCTTTGGCACACTGGCCCATGAGAGTAAGGCTGTTGGATAAATGCCTACAGCCGTACGGTCACAACCACAGTCAAGATACAGAGCAGTCCCTTCACCTCCAAAGCACCCTTGCACTGGCCTCTCAGTAATCAGGTCCTCCCAGGCCCCCAGTTCCTAGACCACTGATCCATTTCCTGTGCCTATACTGTACTCCCTCCTTTTCCATATGCCACGTAGAAGGAATGATATACTATGGAGCCTGCAAGGTTGGCTTCTTTCCCTCAGCAAACTGCATTTGAGCATCATCCATGCTTGTGCATGACAAGTCAGTAGTTCATTCTGTTATAATGTTGAGTAGTTTATGTAGATGTACCACAGTTCTGTCCATCTGTTTACCCAGTTGAAGAACATTTGAATTCTTTCCAATTTTTGGTGACTCTGAATAAAGCCACCATAAATATTTAAGCACAAGTTTTTGTATGAACATAAACACATTCCCCAGCTGCCAGACTAGGTGGCCGAAACAACAGAAATGTCACACAGCTCTGGAAGTTGGGAGTCTGAGACAAGTATCCCCAGACCCAGTGTCTTCTGAGGCCTCTCTCCTTGGCTTGTACACAGCCATCTTCCCCTTGTGTCTCTAATGTTTTTGCCTCCATGCATGTGGTGTGTATTTTCATCTCTTCTTCTTACAGGGACACCAGTCACATTGGACTAAGACCCACCCATATGACCTCATTTTACCTTAATTACTTCTTTAAAGACTCTAACTCCAAATTCAGCCACATTCTGAGGCTCTGGGGGTTAGGACCTTAAAGCATGAATTTTGGAGGGACACAATTCAGCCTATGACACTGTTTCATTTCTCTAGGAAGAGAACTGTTGGACCACATGGTAAATGTATGTTTCTAAAACGACCGCCAAATTATTTCCCAATATATCTTTTTGCATTCCCATCACAGTGTGTAAGGTTCCAGTTACTAAACATCCTCACCAATCAATACTGTCAGGTTTTCAAATTTTAGCCATTCTTATAGGTAAGTGGTTTTAACTTGCATTTTTCCTATGACTAATGATGTTAAGCAATTTTTCACATTTGTCATTTATATATCTCCTTAGGTGAAGTGTCTATTTTCACCTTCATTCTTGAAGTATGTTTTCACTGAATAAAGAATTGTAGTTTTTTCCCCCCTTCAGCACTCTAAAGAAGTTGGTTCACTGTTTTTTGGCCTCCATTGATTCTGATGAGAAGTTTGTTATTATTCAAACTGTTATTCCTCTATTTGAAATGTACCATTTTTCTCCTCTGGATGTTTTCAGGATTTTTCTCTCTATGTCTGCATTTCAGTGATTTGACTATGTTGGGTTTCTCTGTTTTATGCTGCCCGGGACTCCCTGAGATTCCTGAACCTGTCAGTTTAAGTCTTTCAGCTACTTTGTTTAATCTGGGACCATTACTTCTTCATGCATTTTTTCCTTCCACACACGCGGTGCCCACTTCTTCTGAGTCTCTGCTGACACATGAGATTGTCTCTCGGATCCTCAAGATTCTCTTCATCTTCCTCCCAACTGCCTGCTGATTTTTTCTCTATTCTTCACATACAACAGTTTCTATCTTCAATTTTATAAATTCTTTCCTCTCTCATCCCTATTCTGCTACTAAGCCCTTCCAATAAATTTACTTATTTCAGATATTGTATTTATATTTGTCAGGTTTAGAATTTCTACTTTGAAATATATAGACAGAGATAAGTGCCTATAGGTAACAGATTATATATCTCTTTGTTACTCATGGAAGGAAAGCAAGGTAATTCACACTTACATGTCTTTTTATATACATTAAGTTAAAATGAAAGTCTGTCTCTATGTAACAGAACAGAATTACCCAATGTATGCTGAGAAATCAATTTGCTCTGCTCCTTTGTGTTCCTTTGGAAATACAAATGAAAGCTACTCCGGGTGGGCCACTTTCCTACACGCCATCCAAACGTATCCACACATATTATGTATTGAGCTTCTTTCTGATAATACAGCTCAACAGGCTGTCTGAAAAGTCTCTAAGTAAGTTATAATGCATTTTATCCTATTATAATAAGGGAAAGCTACAACCACATGACCTATTTCAGTTTCAACTCACTGCTTATGGGTAATTTATAAAGGATCAATGGCAACAGTGTCACCAGTGAGTTTATTTTACTAAGCATTTGGCTGTGTCAATCTATTTCAGAACTGCCTGTGGTTGCTAAACACCCTCCAGGAAATGTCTTCCATGCATCCACTTCCAAACTACCTCTCCTGTGGTACACAATATCGGTGATTAAAAAAGAATTCATAATAAGCATTTCTTCAAAGAGCACTGTAGCAAGCTAATAAAATTTAGCAAAGTACCAATGATGCAAAGCATACGTCAACAGGCAGATAACAATCCTGTTGATCGAATGAACAAAAAGCCAGAAACAAAAAGGGGCACATCTGTAACAAGTGCATCCCTAATGAATACGCCAGCGTATTTATCAGCACAGATTTAATCTAGGTAGTTAAATCCTAGAAGCTTAGAGGTCACCTGGGGATGTGGCTACTTATTTAACTATTAAAATAAAATCTATCTTGACAACAGCTGGCTGAATGGGAGCAGCATTCAGTTAAAAAGATGCTTTGGTTGGAACTATGCTGTCACAGAAGAAACGGCTCCTTAAATACAGAACTAGGGGAGATATGAGAGTTTTCTTTCCAAAGTTAAAGAATCAGGGAAAGATTTTTCTTCTTGTCAGGTAGAAAACACAAAGTAAAGGGGTTTGGGGAAGTAATGACATCTTCCTATGATCCAAAATGAAAGGCCATAAGGCCGGGAGATTGTCATAAGAATCTCCTGTCATAAGAATTCTGTGAATTCAACAGAGTGAAGAGTTTAATAAGACTGCACTGGACTTTATACGCCTTCAGTGCTAAGTGGCTGCTGTCCCCACGATGGTATAGTTACACAGCTGCCCCCCTTCATACCACCTAAACTCTCACCATACAGGCCTTTCAAAGCTAAAGAAGAGCTGACTTTGTGCAAGGGCCATACCATCCGATGCCATTCATCGGTTGTAAAGCTTTGATTCCCACTCTACCTCTGATTTGTTTCTGTATTTAGGAGTACAAGTTGACCCAGTAATCAACCTATGTAATTCTCCAAAATCCATTTTTAACTTATGCTCAGTACTAAGTTTCTCTCTATGAAGTTAACCCTTTCCTCCTCTCAGTTCTCATATTCTGTTACCCTGCAGAACAAATTATAGGTGGGGTTGCAATGAATTGGTAGCAATAGTAACCTATGTCTAGAAAACAAGTCTTTGATTTGAGAGAGCTTTGAATAGTAGTATTAGCAATCCCCAGACGGAAGACTTTTGTTTTAGCCTAAAGATTACCTATCAACCTATCACCACTAAATGCATGTTCAACACACTAGGCATACATTTATGCCTCATTCTTAAATCAGAGATAATAATCTAGGTCCCTTTTCATAGTTCCTAGGGTTGATGAAGTTTAAATGAATAATTTGTGAACTACTTACTTAATACAATCAGCTCCTACAACTAAACAAGTACACACAAATACACACAAACACACACATGCACACAAACACACACATGCATTGCTATTTTATTTGTCACAAAATATCCTATTACTGTGTTAGTAACGTTTATTGGAATATGTTAGGGGCTTAAAATAAGCAAACCAAAGTACAAAATTGTTGGACTAGCATCCTACTGAAATAACCCAAGGCAAAAAATTACAAATAAATATTTTAAGACTATCCCCCAAGTACAAAGAATCTCTTATTGACAGATTTATCGATATCACACTCTGTAGCAAGTGCATAACTGTTGGTGGCCCAGGTGGCTAGCTGTTGGCCCAAGTTTATCCTCCTCCTTCCATAGTATGAAATCATGCTGAGGAACAGCAGGCCAGCCAGGGCACAGCCCAGCCTCACTCATAGCCTGGGGTAGCCGAGTGACTGGTTCTCACCAATGAAAAGCGAGCAGAACAGTATGTGTCAATCAATACCAGCTACAGTGCTTAGAACTAAGACTGTCTTCTCCTGGATCTCGTTCCCTATCTGTTCACCAAAACATATCTAGCCTAAGGCTCACCACAATGAGAAGAGCCACCAGGTAGTCAGAAACATCCTGGACCCTTCCTTCCCTAAGTGAGAAGTAAATTTATAACCTGTTCAAGCCATTATACATTCAGTAGTCAATTTGTTACTACATCTCAAAATTACTCTAATATACAAGCTTGAAAGGAGAACTTTTCAAAAACTACGAAAGTTTTAGGATCCTGTGGAATACACCAGCATTCTAATCTTGCTCAGTAAATAGAAAACAATTGATAACATTTATAGTAAGCAACACCTACGATAAAAGGAATAACAAGAAACAAGCGTCTTACGTTTTTGAAGCAGAAAGGAGGGGCTTCTTCTGTTCCATGCTGCTTGTGATAGTCTGCCCAGTCAAAGTCCTGGCCAGGGCACCCTGTGTGGGACAGAACACCGATGGAGAGCGTGAGTCAAGCTCAACCTCAGAGAACCAAACAGCTTTATGGTGTGCTACTAATGAAAATAATAAGGGGTGCAAGGATAAGCCCCCAAAAGGTGGAGTCCTTTCTTAAGCCTGATAGCACATTAGATTTTATGAAGATCAAATAAAATATTTTGAAAAATGTGAAGTACTACATACAAGTAAGGTACACCCTATTATCATAACATGGTGCCCAAAATCAGAAAAGAGGGTGGAATTTACCCACATCAGTGCATGGTGATGGGCAGATCTGCTTTGGGGAAGAACAGAAGATATTGAGGGAGGGGTTTAAGAAACAATTATTCACATATGAGGTCTCTCTGGAAAAAGTCCAGCCAATGTTAATGTAATGAGAATGGTTTTCATGACATCGACGTAACCTGGCAGCCAAGGAGAGTGGACTGCAATGCACATGCATGAATAATGATGACTTCACTGTACTAGTTGGTGGGGGCAACAGACGCCATTGTGGAGGCATGTGTACTGTGTGGCCATCGCATTCAAGGTGACTGAGCAAGCAGAGCAACAAATCTGCATCAAATTTTGTGTTAAGCTCAAACACTCCTCCATGGAAAATGTTTGGATGATTCAGAAGGCCACAGCTCTGGACAGCTGGTGATTGGCAGCTTCATCACAACACGCCCACTCATGCATCACGTCTCCTGCAGAGCTGTTTGGTGTAACATCAAATCACCCAGGTGACTCAGCCCCACCTCAGCCCAGATTTGGTGCCCTGTGACTTCTGGCTTTTCCCAAAACTAAAATCACCTTTGAAAGGAAGAGATTCAGGAAAATACAATGGGGCAGCTGATGGCAACTGGGAGAACTGTGTGAGGTGACAAGGTACCTACTTTGAGGTGGACTGAGGCATCATTGTCTTAGGTACAATGTTTCCTGTATCTTGAAACTTCTCCAGTCAATGCCTCTATTTTTCATATTACATGGCTGGATACCTTCTAGACAGACCTTACATACTAAATTTAATTAAATACAGATCTTACCAAAATGGGTTTTTTCTTTCTTTATTCACTTCATTTAAAAGGGAAGGTGCAATTATATAATATATACCCATCATAACTACCACAAGACATGGAAGAAGCTGAGAGAAGACAATAGTTCTAAATTATAAGAATGACACAGAGTGTATGACTTAACCTAGACAGGAAAATACATTATAGGAGTATTTGTGCTTTCTGTGAAAAAAGGATGGTGATGGAAATGAAGAACACAGTAGCTATTAGGATTCACTGAAACTGTACCAAATGTCACTATACTCTTCACTTAGTGCTCTCTCTTTATTGTTTGGTTTATGTTACACACAACTGCATTTTTGATGCCAAAGCAACTGGGGAAATTTATTTTCCTCCACATTGTCCACAACCCTATGCCCTCAAATTCAGTTCACATGGGGACTCTAGTCACTGAATCCCACAGTTGTAGAGTAACTACAGAAATTCTTTATCAAAGAAACTCAAGACACCAGTTGCCTCCTACCTCCATCTGTACTCACAAGCACAAAACAATATTCTTTTCATTAAGTAAGCTCAACTTACCCAACTTTTCTTAAGGTGAGGGGATTATCCAAGAAAGCAGCTGTCCCCTTTGGCCCAGGGACTGGGCCTCGATCCTGCCACCCATCAGCAGCACGGGTAACCCCTTCTCTGTAAGACACCCGCCTCGTTCTATAAAGACTGACAATTCCTCATTTCTTCCCCAAAAGGAGATGAGAAGTCTCAGAGTTCTGAGATGCTACGTGCGCCTTCCAGCTAGTTATGAAGAGGTCTTGCACATCTTCCACCTCCTGCCCCCCGCCCCCAACACCGCTCTCCCCAGAGCTGTCCCTCCAGCCAGATGCTCTTACATCACAGGTTTCTGAAAGGAACCAACCAACTTTCTCCCAAATATTCACAAGCAAAACAAAATGTGTTTTAAATGAGGTAACACAAGTTTCTGTACAATTAATTACTATAACCTGCCACTTTAAAAGTATTAGTCTGTCTGAAACTGGGATCAAATACTCACATTAATGTATAAGAATAGGAGAATTCATCAAAAGACACCTCAAACGACTGAGAAGTTATCTAACAGTACAAAGTGTACTGAACCACAAGGCAGGACTGATTTTAGAGCCAGTCCTACTAGGACCTAGATGAACCAAGGTAAAAGTCTTCTGTGCAACAGACTCTACCTGCTAATTCACAAAACAAGAAGATCTTTCAAGTCTCCTCTGGCTGCTGCATTCCGTGATTCAGAGCAGCCAGCACTAATAGTTTACTGCTGCTGCTTAGGATTCTCTCCTTGCCCCTGTGGTTAATGGCCTTTTCTCCTCTTATGAGAAAAGTGTGGAAGGGTCGACAGAGGTTATGTAACAAGACATTCCCCCGTTGAGCTCCCGATTGAACAGCTGAACGCAAGGTGGCTCGCTGCAACAGAAGGACCCTAAGTGGTTAGGGGTGTGGCCAGCCCACAGTTAATCAAGGTCTCCTCCTGTTCCGTATCTCTTCCCAGGACCTGGGCTACTTCCTTAGTTAATTTTGTGAGAAAATATCATCCACATAATGGGGGAAGGGAAAAATAAGGGGAAAAAATTACCAATGAATAGTAAACTATGTTCTAATATGAAATTTAGGTTCTTCATGGTCATTGTTTGTTCAGATAAAACTTTTCAACTTACAAGTCCCCTCTACTTCTACAGAAAGGCATTCAGCAGGGTTTTCTATAATCAAGTCCATAATCAGCAACTTCCAAAGGGCTTCAACCCACTCCATAAAATGTCATGCTCCACAGTTTCTCAGACTAACATTCAATCCTCTCTATCCAGTCTTCGAGACTCTATGGGAAGCCATTTTTAATCTAATGATTTCAAGAGATAACAGAGTCTTGCTGAGTACACTGGCAACAACTAATTATTCTGCCCCTAGAACTCTCTCCTTCCCCTGAACATATGAACAGCCAAGACTTTTCTTCCTCCTCCTTCTCCTAGGGACCTTTATTCACTTAAAATTCTTTTCCTTCATGCTGATAATGAGCTCTCTTTGTAAGGCAGTTTTGTGACAGCTCAGAAAATAACTGCTACATAAAAACAAATTGCTGTGCCTTGTATAATAGAGACAACAGGGGTCGATTATATTCATTAATCAACAAAGACAGAACAAGAAGTTCTAAGGCTTAACTGCAGCCAGGAAAACATGTTTTAAACCTGGAAGAGAAGGAAATAGCAGAGGGAAAAAGAAAAATTTTCTAAAATCAACCCCCCTTGGGCTATTAAAATTTGCAACAAGCTGCCACAGGAGACTGTTGAGCCACAACCACTAGACTTACTTCAGCTTTTATTAGTGTTTATTCTGAACAAAGTTCCAACTGTTACAGGTCCAGAAAGGCACAGGTCGATGACCCACATCCATGTGACACAAATTAATTGACATAAAATAGCTCTGCTTCCAAACATTGCTATTGGTGGTGTTAGTGGACAATTCTTTTAACAAACAATTTGGCAGTTAACATGTTCATGGACTTTGACACAATTTCATTTCTAGGAATTTATCCCATAAAAAGAACCCTGAAGACCAAAAAAAGTATTATATACTAAGATGCAATGGCATTATTATTGATAATATGCGGGGTCACTGTGTCTCCAAGTATAGCAAATAATATAAAACTTATTCAAGCCCATGAAAAGTCGTGCAGATATGAAATTGGATATAGTTTTTAAAAATCATGAAAAATGATTGCTGTTATTTTCAGGGGTCTCCAACCTTTTGGTGTCTCTGGGCCACACTAGAAGAAGAAAAGTTGTCTTGGGCCACACATTAAATACACAAACACTAACAAAAACTGATGAGCAAAAGAAAAGGTTTTAAGTAAATTTACAATTTTGTGTTGAGCTGCACTCATAGCCATCCTGGGCCACATGAAGCCTGTGGACTGTGGGTTGGACAGCCCTGTTAGATAAAAAGACTGGTATGAACATGTGCAGAATTATCAATTTTACATTGAAAATATGCAAAGAAAAAGGCCAGAGGCAATGTAACAAAAACTTTACAGTAAATATCAAAATTATTATCTGGGAGGTGGGACTCCAAGATACTTTTTCCCCTCTACTTCTTTGCATTTTGCAATCTTTCACTAACGATCATCATTTATTTAAACAATAACAATTATTTGAAAGCACAGCATCGTTGCTCTATTTTAAAAGATAACTGAGGTACTAGTCCATCCATGAAGGACTGATTCAGCCCAGGGACAACACCAGCACTGCCTCCCCACAGCTCTCCCCCCACCCCTGATGTGCTCACGGATACGTGACTGCACCCAGCTCCTCCTCGCCGCTAGGAAAGGAGCTCCAACACCCCAAGACAATCATGGTGCTCAGGACCCTTGCCACTGACTTGGGATGGAAAAAATATGTCCCTCTCTTATGAAAGAGACCACGGGAGTTAAGGAGCTGTTCTTCTATGCTGGGTGGATATTAAAAAAAGGTACAGTCTAAATAAAAAATAAAAACAGCAGAAGAATACCATGCTTGCCATCTCCTTGACCGACACAATGGAAACCAATGTGACCCCACTGCTGTACTGACTGCTGGGGAGCAGATACTCTTACGAATGGCTGGTTGTCACGTATCTGAGAAAACCACTGCAGACGCCAATCTGGCAACGTGTCAAAATTTTAAAGAAGGTATCTGCTTCTCTAACCTGGCCATTTGTTCACATACATGTTCATTTAGAAATATTTAGTAAGTGCATGCTGTATGCTGAGGAGGGTCCTAATACTAGAGATACAGGAACAATGAACAAAACCAACAAAGACACTAACTTTCACAGAGCTTACATTTCAGTGAGTGGAGACAGATAGTAACACAAATACAAAATGTCAAGAGGATCACAAGCGCCATGGAGAGGAAGCGGATGAGAGATGGGAGGGCTGCACCGAGGACGGCCTTACTGAGACGGTGA